CTCTCTTGGTTTCTGTGTCCTGCCCCTGCCCAGCAGGGCTACAGCTGACCCTGCGCTGGCTCCTGATGCTGCTGCTTCCACCCCATCTGCCTGTCCCATGCTTTCCTGGCAGAGCTGTAGCCAAGCTTGCACTGGCTCCTGTTGCTTCTTCCACCCCACCTGCCTGTCCTGTACCTGCCTGACAGGGCTATAACCAAGCCCAGGCTGGCTCCTGCAGCTGCTGCTTCTGCCCCATCTGCCTCTCGTGCGCCTGCCTGGCGGGACTTTGCGAGAAGCCAAGCTCATACATGTCTCTCCTCCATCCACTCACTCCCCTGCCCAGCCATATACAAGCAGGACTAAAGTGAGCTCCGGGCACAGTCCATTCCCAACCCCACTTCCCTCAACACTGCAGATTCCCTTCCATATCTGCTGCTCAGAGAACTGCAACAGGGACAGGAGTCGTCGATGGAGGAGCCTAACAGTTCCCTGGGCAGTAGCCACCCTGCCTGGAAGCTGTGGCGCTTGGCAAGGGCTGGGGCCCCTGGTGGGGGAGGCTGGGAGCATAGCACGTGCTACCCCAGGTGGGACTCAGCCTCATGGGAAGTGCAGAAGAGGCAGACATCAGCCGGGCCTGATATAATTAATTGGTTGGTGCCCGCCTGCAGGATGGATCCAGCCCACTCCCAATATAGATGGTCTGAATACATACAAAATGGCCATATGGTTGTCAAGGACAAGCCCTTGAGTCACAGTGTATGCTAGCTATTGACAGATATGGTAGGCAGGCAAATAGGTACATGCAATTATTCAAGACAAACTTGGAAATCCTGGCCCACAGGCTCTACCAGGTTCAAAGCACTGAACAATCCCTCCTACCTTATAATTTGTGAAAATCGGTTTGACTTCATCAGTTACATGGCTTTTGAGATCCTCTAAATCCATTACTCCTCCATGTCTCCGAACAGTTTCTACAACAGCCGCTGCAATTGTACCTTCATAGAATCCTTTCTTCCCACATCTTGCTATCTCCTGAAAGTTAATTATAATGACACCTTGAGTTTATCACAGAAAGAACAGTGCAGGGTTGGAAGCTTATTTTGATCAATGTCAAATTGGCATCTTCATCTCAAAGAGACTGACAATTACATCATTGCAATTACAATCATACATGGATGATTTAGGTTAGGAGTGTCAAAGATGTGGCCTACAGGCCATATGTAGCCTGTGGAGCTTCATCAGCAGGTCCCCAGTGCTGCCCCTGGGTCTCTAGATGACCCACACAGAGCATGCACCAAACCAACCTCGTGAACAGGGCCTAGGATGCAAACCACATGTGGCATCTGCCCCAACCAGTCTGAGATATATGCTGCATACAGCATTTGTCCCAGGTGGTCTGATGCACATGTTGCATGTGATACCCAAGCTGAGCCAGTCTGGGTCCTCCTACATATCAGATCTAGTGCCTATAGCACTTCTTACAGCTGGTCCAGGGGACACGGCACCTGTTCCAGCCAATCTGGGGTGTGCACTGTGTGCAGTGCATGTCCTAGACCAGCTGGAGTGGGTGACACATGTGGTACAGTCCCAGACCAGCTGGAGTAGAGGCCAGGGGCACTGGACCTGGTATGCTGGGGGGTGGGGCTAGGGGGGTAAGCCCATTCTAACCTGTGGAATTGGCGCTGGGTTGTTCATCTGGCCCACAAATCAGACCCGCACCACTTATCTGGTCTGTGGGGCCAGATGAGTTTGACACCACCGATTTAGGTCAATTCAACTTCAGAAATGATTTGGCTATGTAGACTAGATTCCAGAAACAGCTGTGCATCCTGGATGACATGGTCCAATTCTGTCCTGTCCTGCAGCCTATACAAGCCACTCAGATCTCTTTACCCTACCAGCATAGAATTTTGTCAACAAAAAAATACCACTGGTCTATGCTTGTCAATTATTCCAAAGCTTTTCCAGTGCAGCTGAGCACTTTTGGAGGAATACAAGACCTTCCAGGTGCACCTAGTAACTCAGGGGGTTTGAAATGTCACCCATTTCACATACCATGCACCCTAAGGACTCTAATTAAAGCTACGGTATTTTCAACACCTCTGAAATGTAGGCCTATTAACCGAGTACCTCAACATGATCATAAATGACTAATTTTAAGAATCCAAGTTTGAAAACGTTGGTATTCATTTTACTTACCTATAAAATGTAATTGATATTCATACAGCACTATGTAATCCTTTGATAATGCAGGGACAAGCATTTTTTATTATTAGAGTACAAAGCAGGTATTTACATGGGATTCAACCTAGCTGCCATTTAAGGATCATGATAAAATGAGAATATATGCTGCTAACACACCAGAGTAACTATTAAATATACAGTCACTTTGCATACAACCACAGCAAAGTCTACAACCAGTGTCTAACCACATCTTCAAAAATCTTCTCCTGGCGCTTGTAATTTTCTAAGCATGGCCGTTTTTTGGAATACAGTTGTTTATGCAACACACATTCTGCCCATACAAAAAATGGTTTAAATGTGTCAAATAAGAATGAAACAAGCTAAGTGAGAGATGAAAAAAGGAAATGTGGTAGTGATTACTATTTTAACTGTGTTTTTATAATCCCTAGGAAATGCACAGGGCCGAACAGTCCCAGCCTCATGGCAGGAGTGGTACAAAGACCTTTGGACACAGCCATCCATGATTCCTCCTGGAGCTCTGGGGAGCCTACATAGATTGTAGGCTCTAACCTCTCTCTGGAAATTCTGCAACATCCATTTTCCTCTGTACCTGATATGGAGGAACTCTGCCATCTTCCCAACCCTCCCTTGTAGGGAGGTCAAGAATTCATTCTGTTTAGCATGGCTTTTGAGGCACATGAGGCTCCCTCCAGAGAGATCAGGTGGAATTTAGCATTTGATCTACCCAAAACTTTTGCTGTATAACCGTATGAAGCTTCACAGCACTTTTACAAACTATCAGGTATGATGATGAAGACTCACCACGTTTGTCACAATCACAAGGCAACGTAATAATCTTCCATGTTTCAGGGGTATAGGTTGTAGCTGTGTTGGTTTAAGGATATAGGCAGACAAGGTTCTTTGAGTAAATACGATATTTTTTATTAAAACAACTAAAATAGTTAGAAAAATTCTTCTTTGCAAGCTTTAGGGTTCAAACACCCTCCGTCAGCCTGATGGCTCCCCAACTTTATGACCCTAGCTCATCAACATCTTACAAATCAAGGTTGTGGGTGCTTTTGGCACTCTGCCCAAAAATGTTGCCAACCCCTGATTGTTGCCAATTATTGTCAGCATAGGGACAAGAAGCAGCCTTGATTATGTTATGAAAGTCCAGAGAAAGATCCATAGAGGTTTTTTTGTTTGTTTGTTTTTTACTTTTAGAAACATTTATTCTGGGGAGGGTGACAAGTTGGGGGGCAGTAAGGTATACAGGTTGGCCTGAAGGTCTGGCCCTAAGGACAAGGCCTGGGCTCATGGCCTGCAAGGCCTGCCCACACACTTTAGACAAAAATAAAAAAAATAGGGGACAAAGAAATATATACATATATACAGTTCTGCCAGTGGGGATGCCCAGTGGGGCTTCAGGACATCAGGAGTCACCCCGCACAGACAAAGCCTGAGGTCTCAGCTTGCTGGACCCGCCCCCACACCCTGAACAGGTGATGGCACCACAGCGCAAGGAGCAGGCATCCCCCCTTGACTCGGCACAACGCCCCCTCAACAGCCCAGCATTCCTCAAAGGTGGGCACCATGCGCCAGAGGACCACATGCTCAAACTCAAGTGAGAGGCGGGCCCGCACCAGCAGGGGGAAGTGAAGCAGGGCTGCACCTCAGGTTAGATAAATCATTACCAAATGGTGGCAAGTGCAAGCCAAGTACAAAGAAACTACATTTATAGAAAACCACTAAGAAATCTCAGATACTGGAACTTCAACTTCTCAGTCACTGGTATGTTAAGTAGCTTTGACTTAATATAGATAATTGTATGCATGGATATGAAATACATGCCTCTTAATTCAGATGGCCAAGGGCGTGACAGATACTCAAGCAGTAAGTATACAGACCATACAGCAATGACGTTGTTGAGAGCTGAAAGGAATTCCATAGTTATGTAATTAAATAAGACAGAAAGGTGTGTTATCATGCTAACAAAATGACACTGCTTGCACATACATTTACATGCACGGCTTATCATTTCCAAGCTGGGGTATTTACTGAGTCTTTCAAATATTTGATATCTTAAAAAGACATCATGCCATACGAGAAAAAAACATGTCTCAGACTGAAAAAAGGAGTAGACATGTGGCTACATTCAAGGGGGTAAACTCCCAGCTATCTTAAGAGTTACACTTACTAGCTAATTACCAAGTTAAAAAGGAACAATAAAAATAAGTACTGTACATCATTTGTACAATAGAACTAAAGTAATTAAATGGAGTCGTTAGAATCTTGAATTTCAGGAGTCCATTCTTGCTTCCCAGTCCTTCCACAGAGCTTCCAGATGGCAGCGGCAAACACAGAAGCAAAGACACTACTGTCTTTACATACTCATCTGAGACAAAACAACACATGGAGCTCCTGTTGTGCAAGTTCTATTCAGGATCTGAAGTGCTGAGTCTTTGATCATGTTTGCAGTTGAACTGTGTCCAGCCTCCATCTGGCTATCTCCAATGCTGATGCCAACACATCAGCAGAAAGTAAATCTGACAGTGAAATCATTCATAGCTACTGCCTACACAGATCAAATTTGATTATGTACCAACCCCAACATAAGATACACCTGGCATTCTGCTTCATAGCAGTCAAAAACTCTCCCTCCATAGCTCATTCTGTACTATTCCTGCCCCTTTCCTTATGCTGGGGCAAGGGAAAACCCAGATTTAGGTGTGCTGTGAATTCCCTATGCCACAGCTGTCTAACTGGTGGCTGACCTGCAGGCCCCAAGGGGCTTGTCAGCACAGCTCTAGCACTCAGTGGGGAAATGCTGCTGCTGGTCATTTCCCCCTCCACATACCCTCTTGCCTGTCATCATACCTGGAGCCTACCTGCAACTGGCATCAGGGGAAAAGGGGGGTGAGCAATGGCAGCATTAGAGACCTGTAATCTGGATCTGGCCTACAGAAGACAAAGAAGCTGGACACCACTGTTCTATGGGACACCAGGGCTAGAGACAGGCATTACACATAAACCAGTTTAAGCGATCAGAAACTGGTTTAAACCTGTAATAGAACAGACAACCGTGCACATAAACCAGCTTGAAAATTGCTGAAACCAGTTTAAGATAAACCTGGTTGAAAGTAGTATCAGACTTAACTGATTTGGGTCAAACTGGTTTATGCAATGTTTGTCCCAACTCAGCACCATGGAAGGGAAGGGAAGGGAGGGCTTCCCTAATGAGCCCTGGCTTTTAGCCTAAGCCACTGCAAGCATGTGCCTGCATTTCTTCAGTCGAGCAGGGATGTTTTACAGTTACAAAACAGTTTAGCCTAGCCAGGTTAGACTAACCTGCAAAGATTGAATCAATTCAGGCTCAGGCTTTTTGAATGTTTGTCCCTAGCTCAGAGGGTAGGAGGGAGCAACCTTATGTATCTCATAACTGCAGGAATGACACCTCCCTTAAATCTTTCCCCCTCAGGTTCTGCTGAGTTTGCCCCCATGCCTCTGGAACACAAAGTCAGTCTCTCCTTCTCTGTCTCTCTAATACTGGTTTAGATGTGTGCAGGACCGGACCACTATAGTTACAGTTCTCTCCTATTTTTTTTTCCCCCCTCACCCTTTTAGAAGCCATAATAATTACAAGGCCCAGGAATTAGACGTGGAAGTACCAGCATTCATAGGGACTTCTTTCTGGTAGGAGGTGTTTTGTGTTTTTTTTAATTCAAGAGAAGAAATCAACTTGATGGCTGTTTTGTGTCAGTACAGGCAGATGCAGAAGGAAGAGGCCTAGAAAGTAGATAAAACTAAACTAGGCAAATGGGTGGAGAGCAGCAGCTGTGCCAAAGTGA